CCGCCCCCCTCCTCCTCACGGCCCTGCCACACACCCCCGCACACACACGTGCACCTCCTCATCATGACCCCGTCCTCCCTCCTCAGCATCATAACTGGGCCCCCACCTGCACCTCCTCATCGTATTCATCAAACACCATCTTGTCCAGCAGCAGGGGGATCAGCCGCGGCAAAAAGGGCCGCAGCAGCTCAGGCTCGACGTCGTCGGCGTCGCAAAAGGCCACCCAGAACTCGGCACTCTCAAGCGCCACGTCCTCGTCACCGTCCTGGGGGAAGGGGCGCGTTGTGGGGGTGGGTGTTGTGTGTGTACTGTGTGTGTAATGTGTGTGTATCAAGTGTGCGATGCGTGTGTGTGTACAGGGTGCGCTTAGTGTGTGCATGATGTGTCTGGGGGGATAGATTTGGGTGGGAGTATAGCACCCACTCGCCCTGCGTTGCCCACCTCCCTGGTCGGGCGCTAGAATGGGAGCTGTGCCATCCCCGCAATCACAAAGAGACGGCTGCGCTGCACGTGTCACGTCCTGTACCACTCATGCCTGGTCATCCCATCGATGCATCCCAGCTACATGGGCCAGAGACACACACACACACACACACACACACACACACACATGCACACAAACACACACGTACACACGTATGCTTGCGCCACGACAAACGCACACTCATACAAACAAACACAAAAAAACGACGCAGAATCGCACGCAGGCACGCACGCACACACACACACACACACACACACATACACACACGCAAGCGCACGCATACACAAGCACATCTGCGCACACTGTGCCTCTGCACCGCGCCCCCACCCCCACCCCCGCCCCCACCTGGTGCATCGCCAGCATGTACTCGATGATCTGGTGCAGCTGCGGCAGCAGCAGGTCCGGCCTCACTGGCAGCAGGTTGACCAGCCCCGCCACCACCTGCTTGCGCACCCCGGGGTCGGTGTCCGTCGCGAGGCTGAACAGGCCGGCCGTGAACGCCTCGATGTTGTCGACCATGCCGTCGGGCATGGAGGGCAGCATGAGGTTCAGGATGGCCAGCGCGCCGCGGCGCGCGGCGGGGGAGGGGTGGGGGAGCAGGGCGAGGAGCGGCGGCACGAGGAGGGAGCTGACGGCCTGGGGGGTGCCCCAGGTGGGGCCCTCCATCTTGGTGTTGATCTGAGGCGGGGGTGCGGGAGTCGATGTGGAGGGCGATTGTAACATCAAGGCCACAAACAGGAAACAGAAGCTGAAAGGGTGGCGGCGAAGATGCGGGGGGCGCACACGAATTCCACCTGCCACCTGCACACCACAACAGATTTCCTGCCTTTTTGCACACAACCCCTCCCCAAACTGTCCCTTCCACACACACACACACACGCCACACACTATACACTCACATATACCCAAAAAAAACACTCTCGTGATGAGTTCGCCTGCACGCCCAACCCTTCATCCCCCACCCCAACCCCCCAAGGCCCACCTGGTCCATCCCGTCCTCCGCCACCTTGAACAGGGTGTCCAGCGCGCCGTCCAGCGTCGACGCCTCCCCGCTGCCCAGGCTGTGGCCCAGCCACATCACCAGCTCAGGCCACGCCCGCAGCCCGCCCGCGGCGGCGACGGTGGAGACGATGCTGCCGGCGGTGTGGCGCAGGGCGCGGTCGGGGTGGGACAGGACGTGCAGGAGGTCGCCCTGCGGTTTTTTGGGGGGGGGGGGCAAGGGTGTGGCAGTGGGGAGGTGAGCGGGCTTGGTTGGGGTGATGAGAGGGGGTTAAGTAGGTCGCGAGGGCTGAGCAATGCAGTCGTTCACCAAGAAACGTGGTGGCTGGGCGGATCGACCGCATGCGCGAGCGGCGTGCCGGCCCATGCTGCCGCTCTTTGCATCCGAGACGTGCGTGTCTACGGGGTGCGCGCACGACTGTTCTGCTGCACCCCGAGCGACGCAGACGACACCCACACTGCAGCCTCCTTCCCTGCCAAACACACCACCCCCTCGGATACACTCCTCACTCAGGCCACCATCTCTCTCTCTCACACACACACACGCGCACACACGCGCACACACAACCACACACATACACACACATACACACACGCACACGCACACGACCACACGCACCTTGATGTACTGCCGGAAGTCCTCTGTGGTGGTGGCGTACTGCTGCTTCAGGTTGTTCTTCAGCAGCAGGCCCGCCGCGTTGCGCACCTGTGCGCAGTAGGGCGAGGGACACCAGCTGAACCCCCAGATCGCCCCACACCCGCCAGCACCCGCCGCGCCCGGCCCTGCCCCCGCCTCAGGCACACTTAGGGAGGTTTTGACGCGCCCTCGCTTCGCGACCGGGCCCCGTGCCGGCGCGCCGCCACCTCCCATCCGAGTGCATCGGCGGCCGCTGGACGACCAATTGTGGGAGAGTGGGCAGAGAAACGCAAGCGCTGCACGCAGCCGCGCGGCCACGTGACGCCCCCTCGACCGCGATGAAAAAGGCGATCAGGGAGGCGGCGCGGCCGCGCACCTCGCTGGGCAGCGTCTCCCCCTTGCTGAATACATACGACAGGTAATTGTTGAAGTCGGGGACGTGGCGCGCCTGCTGCAGCTGCTGCCACACCTGAGGGCGGCACGCCGCGGGGTGCGGGCGCGGGGCGGGGCGCGGGGGGGGCTGGGGAGACGCGCGGCCGCGTTGAGCGAAGGAGCGGCTGCTGCAGGCGCGGTTGAGGAGCGCGCGCGGACGGCGGCGGCGAGACTGAGCGAGCTGGTGTGTGTGTGTGTGTGTGTGTGTGTGTGTGTGTGTGTGTGTGCGCTCGCGCGCACCTGCGCCTGGTCGGCGGTGGGACTCTGGAAGCCGGACAGAAGCTGGCAGATCTGCGCGACTGCGGTTTCATTGGGGACCCAGACCTGCGCCGCCATGGCGGCGTGCCGCTGCTGGTGCTCGCGCCACTGCCGCTGCCACCGCCGTTGCAGCTGCGGTGAGATGCAGCCAGGCACAGGGGACAGGCATTTGTGTCATTGTGGTTGTTGAGGCGTGAGGGTGCCTCCTATGGCGCTTGCAATGGGAGAGGCGCAATATCGATTTCTGCCAAGCCAGGCGACAAAACAACACACGCAGGGGATGCGCCGTGGTGAGTATCGAGTGCTGGAGCGGCAGGCGCCTGCTGCGCCGGTGCGGCCGAGCAGCGGGCGGCATGACATTTCGGTGCATTGCTGCATGATCAAACAGCGTGTTATACTACACCAAAAACGGCTGCAGGCGTCTCTAGCCCCGGCGATCTGACCCCACTCGCTGCGCTCACCGCCGGCTGCCACTGGCCGTCCGCTAATTGAATCAACTATGCCTATAGCTATTGCTCTTGACCTTCTAGCCTCCGTAACGAGCGATCACGTCACAAAATTTGGCACTTCGCCTCTGTTTTTACCACGCCTAGGCTCTGGAGAAGCACCACAACTGTCGTATCTACTGCGGTCAGAAAGTTGATGAAGGTCACGCACTACCGTAGCTGGACAGCCTGTGCGCTCTGGAAGGCGTGAGGTGCCAAGTGCCCTGCACTGCAACATGAGTGACGCCGAAAACCCATTGCAATGCCACGATCATCGACATGGCCACCGAAGCGTCGATGCTGGTCAAGAGGCTAGATTAGAGTGCGGCTGGGATTGGTGTCGGCTGCATTCAGCTCATGCAAGCCCTGTTTCACAGGTAGGGTTTCGCCGGGAGGCGCTGGGCGTCTGGAGGGCGACATTTACAACACATGAGGCTGCTGAGTTGCGAGGCCATAGCCAGTTGCGGTTGTCGAGTTTACAAGACGGCAGCTCCCTGTTCTGGGAAGCTTCGGCCACATAAGCCCGCAAGTGAATTCAAAAGCGGTCCCCGACCCATGACACGAGCCAGCGACAAGATCAACGCGCCAAACCCTCTGAAGGCAGGGTGGGTTCGGCAGGGTTCGGCACCAGGCCATTGAAGCCTGGTGGCGACGCAAGCAAGCAGCAAGCAGCATGGCCCTTCGGCCTGGTCGGTTCCCCCGCGCCGCTCGCTACCTGCATGCATCGCAACCAGCAGCTTACCGTTGTACGAAAAGCCGCCCTGTTTGAGACCTGGAAATATGAGAGAGGCGCGGCGTGTGTGTGTGTGGGGGGGGGGGCCGAGGATGCTGCTGAGAACCAGGGTCGCGTGAAAGCAGAGGGAGGGCGTCTAAACAAGAGGTGTCAGCCCCATCCAGGCGCCACGGCCCCGGCCGCTGGTGCGGCGCCGGCGCCGCGGTGAGAGGCGCTGGTGCGGGCTGCCCCGTGAGGGGCCGCTTTGCGCGACCGCCATGCCACAAGGTGGGCTTGCAGAGCCACGGTGTGGAGGTTGTGGTGCGCTCGTGCTGGGAGTGCGTGGACTCCAGCAAAGCATCCGAACCATCCGAAGCCACAGGCAAACATGTGCCGACACAAACCTGTCACAGTGATGAGGGCACCGTAATGAAACATGCTTCCTAAGTAGGCAAGAGAGCAGCGAAGGGGGGGGAGGGGGAGCGTCTGGGCCAGTGACAGGGGTTGGAGCGAGGAGGCGGCCAAGGGAGCGGCACGCCTGATGTGGATTTGGCGGCACAGGATGTGGGCGTGAGGGCATACCGGAGCGGCTGGGTGATCGCCGCACCGCCGAAAAAAGACCACGCCAGGTTCTCTTGGCGCCTGATAAATACCGGTGGCTCATGGGCCGTAGCCTAGCCATCAGGGAGTGTGAACGCCAGCAGAACAATCGGCCACTGGTGCAACGCGCTGCCCTTTGTCTACTGCTTCACACCTGTTGAGTTCGGCATCTCATCTTCTACTCCTATCAGTCGCTTCTCAACTTTAGTGGTGCAGCCGGGGCCTGGATAGCAGCCAGCGCATGGAGGCGGCGGCTGCTGCACCAGATCACCATGGGCTAGGCACCATGAGCGGAGACCCGTGCAACCCTGACAATCTCATGCTTTGATAAGATGCATTGTTGTGCGATTTAGGGGTCCCGAGGCCATCTCACGCCGCACTCCAGATCGCGGGCGGGCAGCCCGACGAGGGTGAAGCCCATAGTATTCAGGACCTTGTATAAAGCGCGCACAACAATTGAAACCTTTTGTGTGTGTCGCAAGAGCGAACAAAGGGTTCCCTTTATGATCGTGGGCTCATGTGCAGTGGAACTGGGGCAGTCAGGAGCAAGGCGATGTCCACCAGGTGGCCACGTACAAGCCAACGCTCTGTGCATTCCATCAGTCTCATATGTAAGGACAGTAGTCTATGATGTGAACTTTAGAAAGGCGCGAAATCATGTGTGTACAGCTCGCTGCTGGTTCCTACATTCCGAGTGGTTGTCACTAAACGCTGGTTTCCACAATCAGTGCCAACATACCGACCTGTGGGACAGCCAAGAGCACGGAATCCAGCCTGCATGATTCCTGTTCTGTTGAATGTATATTACCCAACATGAACCCGTCAGGCAGGCCACCACTCTGCATATGTGCGGGCGCATCGCTGCGCTAAGGCGTTTCACGAGTGCTACTGTAGCGCCCGGCAACCGCCAGGAACGGACCCCCGCCGCGTTGGAAACGCACGCGAGCAAAGACAAAATAGAGGGGCGTCCCAGTCAAATTGTTGAACATCTCTAGGCCGCGACGCAACAAAAAAGTACGTGTCGGCGCTGCTGCTCGTGCTCACCACAGCCACAACAGACGTGCCGGCCCGGCCACGGCACCACTCTCGCTCCGATGACACCTCCCATGCGTGCCGGCCGGTCAACATACACCACTCTCATCTCACCCCATTGAACCAGGCCAAATCGGCTTCATGCTGCCTCTCCGTCCCCTACAAGCCCGCCCCCCTCTGCCTCTCCACCTCCGCCCGCAGCTCCTCCACCGCCGACTCGAGCGCGATGGCCCAGTGCGTCCAGTGGGTGCCGCCCTGGCAGTAAACTACGTAGGGCGGCCGCAACGGGCCGTCCGCGGACAGCTCTGCGGTGGAGCCGTCCACAAACGTGCCGTCAGCAAAGATGACCTCGTCGCCGTAGCCGGCAGTGACGCCTGTGGCGCCGAGGGAGGGCGGCGGGAGCTGGGCGGTCGGGTGTGTGCACATGGACAAGTGTCGCGTGCATGGGGCAGGGGCTGGCCGCTGAGGTGGAGGGTTGGAGGCTGGGGTGGGGTGGGGCGTCGAGTGCAGGGTGGCAAGGGCCGGGCGGCCGAGGCTGGGGTGGTGGCGGAGCAGGAGCTGCTCAACCCCCACAGGGGCTCTGACTTTGTCAGCAGGAAGCGGCGCAGACACTCTAGCAGCCTGCCCGTGTGCAGCCACATGGCCGTTCTCAGGGCACGCAGGCATGGGAGCTTTCCTCTCCTGCGCACCGGGCACGGGCCGTATGTAAGAACCGACGGGGCAGCGCCTCTGGATGCCGCGGCAGAACGCCTCCATGCGCTCGCGGCTGCCGAGCTCCACCGCTGTGATCATGGAGGGCGTGTGGGCCAGGCCGGGCGCGGGGACGACCGTGTAGCCCTCCGCCGCCATCACCTGCGCCACGAGGCGGCCGCCCTTGAGCGCCTCGCCCGTGGTCTGGGGCGTGGCGGGACGACAGGGGGAGGGGCCAGGAGAGAGGTGGGGGGCAGGGTTGGAAGTGGCATCAGCAGAAAGGGCAGGGAACGGAGTACACATGAGCCAAGTGTTGGGCTGCAGCCAATACCAGCAGCCAGCACTAACCTGGCCCAAACACTGGTTCAAACAGCGCGCCACCGCTAGCTTTCCCGGCAGCCCCCTGGCC